AGGCCTGGGGAGGGGCCGTGCGGGGCTGCTCGGGGCCGAGGTCTGCCTCGGGCGGTGTTGGGGCCCGCAGGAGGCTCTGGAGGACCGCGGACAGGCAGCTCCCCGCGACTCGCTAATTCTGGAGCTGATTTCGGGAACTCTGCCACCCGCGGGGGTAGCACAGGGCTGAAGGATCCCTCCCCCAGCAGCATGAGGCTCACCAGCTCTCTGCTTTCCCCAGAGGCCGCTTCTGGTCTGCTGAGGCCTGAGAGGAATCTGGGCAGGTGGCAGCTAGTGGGAGAGAGGCGCTTGGAAACTGGGTTTGTTTCTTGTTGACATCCAAGGTAGCTGCTCTAGAAGTGGCTAAACGCTCAGCTACAGCCCTCCTCACCCAGGGTGCTGCCTTAGACTGTACCAGGTCACTGGGGGTTTAGATGTATTTAATCAAGAGAAGCACACGATGTCATATTAATCAGGCGTGCTTCCAAATTCCTACTGAACTACTTTGTGAAAGAAAAATGTTTGTGAGCCTTTATAATACAGCATTTTAACTTTCTAAGTGATTAAAATTCAGTGAGTACACTGAAGCTTGTAACTTAAATGCATTCCCTTCAGCCACTGCTCGTGTCATCGGTAAGGTTTGAGGCTTGTGTGCTCCGGTGAGGGAGCGTGGTCAGCGTTAATGTAAAAGAATGTCACGGCTGCAGCTACTTCCAGCAAAACGCTTGCAGATTGTTTGCAAGCATGAAATTGTTTCTTGAAGAAATTCATAGGTGAGCCTGAAGGTGAAGTTCCCAAGTCTTACTCCATCAGTGTCCATGGTAGCATGCAAAGATGGAATAAGCATACGTTATTCTCTCTGCTTTAATTCTGAAGCAGTTCTGGTTTGAAGTCTCCACGTTCACAATCCTGTGGAGGTGTATGCACCTACTTGAGTTGATTCAACGTTTGTGTTTAAACACACAGGTATGTTAACAGCAGTGTTACAGCCTGTGTATTAATTTTTTTTCTTGCTTTTTTAACAATTCTAGATCAACAAGCCTGAGAAGCTGGACAAGCCAGAGAGCTGTGATAATGTCAAGGTGGTTGTTCGATGCCGGCCTCTTAATGAACGAGAGAAAGCCACGGGCTACAAAATGGCAGTCAACGTAGATGAAATGAGAGGAACTATAACAGTTCATAAGACAGACTCATCCAATGAGCCTCCCAAGACATTTACGTTTGACACAGTGTTTGGACCAGAGAGTAAACAGCTGGATGTCTATAATTTAACTGCAAGACCTATTATTGACTCTGTCCTAGAAGGATACAATGGTAAGTCCTTTGTTGGTTTAAGTCAAGGATCCCATCTCCTATTTGCTTTATTAGAGTTCCTGCTGATCTTATTTAAGGGAGTTTCACCTTTCAAGGGCTGGAGCCCTGTATTGTTTCTGTTGTGACCTCTAACTTAAAACAGCCTGAAGGTCCTTGCTGTGCCAAGTACTCGCTGGTTGTACCTACTATGATCGTTAACAGCGAGAGATTGGTGAACAAGACTGAGCTGAGGTCAGTCAGCTGTATGTTTTTATTCTGTATCTTCTGTTTGCAAAAGATATACTTTATCTCATTGTCAGAATTCTCAGCGGCTCTTCACTATACAATTTCAGTAACCAGGCAGCTGCCACGGTCCTGCAGTAACTAGGTATGCATACCAGACTTGTGCATATAACTGCTGCGTTTTCTCCTCTAAACTCTGCTGGTTTAAACTAAGATGACTAGTTAAACACATCTGCCCTACCCCACAGATAATCTGTTGCTTCCTACAGCTGGGAAGAGTCTGGCCATGGTTTGGGTGTGTGTCTGTTATGCATGTAAATGCATTATGCAAAGGAGAGCAGGTGCTAGTAAGGAAGCAAATTACTGCTTTCCATAACAGTACACTATAAACAACAACAGATTACGAAGTTTTCAAAGGCTTGTTAAATGCCTAATAAGCTCTTGTGCTAACACACCCAGGTTTCAGCTGACTAAGAAGCAGCTCTTCCAAATTGTCGAGTCATTGGCTTGACAATCAAAACTTGTTTTAGGCAGCGCTAGGCTAAACTTAAGAACCACTATATTTCTGGAGTACCGGAGTCTGGGATCTCGGTACATTTTCTGGATGTTTTCCTGCGTAGGTTGATTCTCTAGTCCAAACTGTAGCTGTCTGCAGGTTCAGAACTGGGCTTGTGCTGTGGCCTGTGTTCCAGAAGCCTCACACTGTTTCTGCTGTGGCTTAGCAATAGTTGGTTTTACAGTTGATATATAATGATCTTCATCTAATTGACCATGTTATTAATTGGGCTTGCCTTAATTATTTGTGTGTGAGACCTAAGTGTACTAGCACTCCCTACTTTAATCACTCTGCACAGTTAAAACAAGATGAGGTTTTTGGGGATATCTTGTGGGCTGGACAAAACAGGGGCTCAGCATTGTTTGCTGCTGTGGTCCAGCATTTCTGTTGCCCTTAGCCTTGTACATTATCTACTGGAGTGGGTGGAAAACTTCAGCTCTGTAACAGTAGAGGTGTTTAGTGCCATCGGGCTAAGAAGGGGTGAAGTAAAACTGCAGTTAGCAACTTCTTAGTGTGTTCCTATATCTTCTCATCCTTCAGGTACTATTTTTGCATATGGGCAAACTGGAACAGGCAAAACTTTCACCATGGAAGGGGTCCGAGCAGTTCCTGAGCTTAGAGGCATCATTCCCAATTCCTTTGCCCATATATTTGGTCACATTGCCAAGGCAGAGGGGGACACAAGGTAAACACCTTCTCTTCACTGCTTCTGGTTTTTGAGTGTCCGGCTGTAGCAGGAGCCTGACCTTGACAGTGGCAACTGAAATGGCACCTGTGGCCCTAGCTGAAAGATTCCTACTTGAGCAGTTCTTGACGGGGTGGCAGGATTGTGCTGGTATATCACTGCATTTTTGTTGCATTCTGTGATTGTATTTTTTGGACTTCCACAAATGTCTTAACTAAGAAATCTACCCAACTGTTTATCTTCAGGTTTTTGGTTCGTGTGTCTTACCTTGAAATTTATAATGAAGAAGTGCGGGACCTGCTAGGCAAAGACCAGACACAGAGATTAGAGGTGAGCCTGCTGTTCTGCATGTGATGTTTGTTTTGAATCAGTGAGAAACTTTATATTTTTTTTAAGACTAGAGAAGCACTTGAAGGGAAGCAGAAGGTTGGGCTCCACAGCACACGTACCATTTCCTTTAGGATGCAGTTGCTGGGTATCACTGCTGACTTCTCAGAATCTTTCCCACTTGGTCACTTGCAGAGTGAGAAACTGGCTGTTCCCTCTGAGTCAGTTTTGTGCCTGCAGTTCTACCTCGGAGGCCCTTTGCAGTCTTTCTAGGGATTGGAGCCTGAGTCCCTATTTGCCACTGGAGGAAACCAGTGGGACGTTGTCCTGCATGAGTCTGCATTCCTTAACTGCTCTGAGTGTTTTATGTGCAAACCAGAACCTGAAGGAGTAAATCACTGTGCTATCGCAGTAGTACAGTACACTGTAGTGTTGTAGTGAAAATTGCTAAATAGGATGCTCCATCTCAACTGTTTCTCTCTTAGGTTAAAGAGAGACCTGATGTGGGAGTTTATATCAAAGACCTTTCAGCTTATGTCGTAAACAATGCAGATGATATGGACAGAATCATGACTCTGGGCCACAAGAACCGTACGTAGCCTTGCTGTGGGCAGATTTATAGCTCAGACAGAACAAAGGGCTGGTTATGAGACCCATAGTAAGATCCTGGTCCTAATGCTGGAAAGATTGTTCAGCTGAGCAGAGCAAAAGGGATACCTCCTCCCAAACCCCTTCTGTGCAGGGGCAGGTAAAGAAGCCTGTGCCTCCCACAGCGGGCAGTGGTGCAGAAGGGGTGCAGCGAGGGCAGTCAGCATTGTCAGAGCTACCAGTGTGTGTCTCGGTCCTTTTCCCTCTTCAGTTCTGGTCAGGATGAACAACAAATAGTCCCTGTGCTGTGAGTGGGAGGTGGTTTGTGTTTTTTGGAAAACTGAGTTAAGCGCTGATCCTTTTATGACCTAAATTCTGACTACCGTTGCTCTTGGCATGGATTGCTGTGGTTTTATTTCTTAAAATACAGCTGTTTTCAGAGATCAGCCGTGAATGTCTTAGGCTACTGATCTTTGTAGCCTTAAAGAAACAGATGACAACTATTGCTGCTCATGGGATGGGAGTCAGTGGTTGGCTTAGAGCTGCAGCAGGCTGTAACACTTCTGCTAGTCCAGATTGGAAATACACTGCCCCTTCAGTGCCCAAGAATATTTTCCTGCAGAGTTTGATCATTCCTCTTCCCTCTTGTGAAAAACAAGGTTGGGTGAAGAGGCGGGGAGAAGTCTCCTTTGAGAGCAGGAGGAGTGTGACAGCAGCACGTGATTCCTTCTGAAGACAACGCTGTGTTTTCTCTCTGTTACAAGGTTCCGTTGGTGCCACAAACATGAACGAGCACAGCTCTCGTTCACACGCCATCTTCACCATCACCATCGAGTGCAGCGAGAAGGGGGTCGATGGCAACATGCACGTGCGCATGGGCAAGCTGCATCTTGTTGATCTTGCTGTAAGTGGGACCGGCCGGGTCTGCCAGGGCGTGTGGTTGGTGCTGCTGCTCGGGGGAGTGGTGTTGGAGGCCCAGGAGAGGGCATGTCCCACGTTTCACAGCTAAAGCCCAGACTTCTGTTTGACATTGGACTTTGTGAAGTGTTCGCTTGGGGCCTTAAATCAGAGGGTGTACCAGGAAGGGTGTTTAGTGTAGCTAGAGCCTGTCCCAGTAAAAAGGCTCTCTCACTTCTATAAATTAATCATGAAATGCATAAACTACATTAGAAAGAGCTCTCTGGACAGTGGAACTGAATGTCTGCAAGAGGATTTTTTCTTATTTTCACAGAATCCTAGGATCATCTTGGTTGGAAAAGCCCTTGAAGATCACTCAGTCCAACCATTAACCTAACACTGACCGTTCTCAACCCCACCTGATCCCTAAGTGCTGTTTTGAGGGTTGTAACTGTGCAGTTGATCACTTGAGGGTTCATTCCCTCTGTCACTCGCTTTGAACCAATGTAATTGTGCTGGTAAAATGTCTTTAGCCCAAACTTTACACCGAAGTACCTTTCCTTGGAGAAGATGCAGGAAAGGGGAGATTAAAGCCATTCAGTGTCTGCATGTTGACTTTATTTACATGATGTGTGTTTAGGTTGCTCTGTGAAACTTTTTAGAAATAATTGCAGTGTTGCTTTTCTCCCTTGATCTGCTGACAGGGAAGGCTGGAGACGGTGCTTAGCAGCTCTAGCTGAGGTGCCTCCTAACTGCTGACTTGCTTCTTCTAAGTTTTGCTCATGGGGACAAAATCTTCATTTTTCCATCAGTGTTACTTTGAGCAATCCAGTATTTGCCAGCACTGAAAGCTTCAGTTAAGATGTCTTTGTCTCTTTAACCATGTCTGAGGTACTTAGCCAGGCTCTATAATAACAGATGGGGTGGTCAGTGGCAGGCTGCTAGCAAGACTTCGGGTGTAGTTGATCCTAATTAGAGGAGGGCGATGTATTGGGGAATCTGGTGCAATTCCTGCTTGCTGTTCCCTTTCCAGGGTTCTGAAAGACAGGCAAAAACCGGAGCCACGGGGCAGCGACTGAAGGAAGCTACAAAGATCAACCTCTCTCTCTCCACGCTGGGGAACGTTATCTCTGCGCTGGTGGATGGCAAGAGCACCCACGTTCCCTACCGTAACTCCAAACTCACCCGGCTCCTTCAGGATTCTCTGGGGGGCAACTCCAAAACCATGATGGTAAGCTGAGACTCCCTTTCCCGTGCCAGCTATGGAGCTGGATTTTTACAGGGGTAACGTAGTGACTTTGCCATGAGAACAGCCTGGCATTTACCTCTATTTCAGAGCTGTTTGCAGCTTAGAGAACCTTCTGTGTGCATCTTTTCCTTTTCTCTTTGCCTCTGTACAGATGAGGTTGTAAACACAGTGCGTGTGTGTAAGATCACACAGATGTGCTTGGGTAGCCAAAAGCAGCTTTGGTGTAGAAGCAGCAGGAGAGCCTGGGGAGGAGTAGCAGTGTGAGACTGGCAGAGCCGGGGACGGGCCCTGCAATGGCTTGTTCTGGGCTCTGACCCTGCCCCCTGTCTGCCACAGTGTGCGAACATCGGACCAGCGGACTACAACTACGATGAGACTATCAGCACTCTCAGGTATGCGAACCGAGCCAAGAACATCAAGAACAAGGCCAGGATTAATGAAGATCCCAAGGATGCTTTGCTCCGCCAGTTTCAAAAAGAAATCGAAGAGCTTAAGAAAAAACTGGAAGAAGGTGAGATTCCCCTTCCTTCTCCTCGGGTTTCTCGCTATGCCAGTGCTCATTCCATTTGGCCATTCTTTGTGTCAGTTTGGCAGCTGCTGTGGGCCAGTGCCCTCATTTTACTTGCCCTGCTGGGCTGCAGGAGAGGTGACCTGAGCGCAGCCGGCGGTGGCCCAGCAGGGCCCCGGCTTTGCCCGCTAGGTGGCACTTGGCACTAAGGGTAAGCGGTGGCTCCTGGGCTGAGTTTAGGTGTTGCCCGGGCTCGCCCAGAGAGCAGGAGGGCTCTGGGCACAGCGTAGGGAATTAAAACGTACCCTAACAAAAGGGCAAATGTCTTCCCTGTTTGAAGAGAAAAAATTTTGGGTGAAAAATGAACCAAACTTGCAGAGCTAGAGCTGGGGCTGACTTCCAAACACTGCCTGGGGAATAAGAAGCTTGAAGCCCTGTAGTTTTGTGGCCTTGTGACACTGTTTGTCCATTGAAGGACCCTGCCAGGGGCTGCTTACGGAGCAGTGACCTCGGCACAGCTCTGCCAAAGGGATGCTCACGGCAGCAGCTCTGCCAGGGCTTGCTGCTGGGAGTCTGCCCCGTTTGGGAGAAGCAGGGAATGGTCAGCAACTTCATCGTCAAGGGTTGGAAGCTGCATGTAGCTGTTTCATCCCTGATGGGCTGAGGGTGGCTGCTTAAATTTTACTCTAAGCCACAGAAGAAACAGCTTTACGTTTGCTAACGTTACTGGGAGGCCAGGAGGTTAAGTGTTGGATTCTATTCAGTTTGGTTTCCCAACTAAGCCTGAAATATCTGAGCATCGTGTTTGCAATGGCAACAATGAAAAACATTTGTGAAACTGAACTTTTTTCTCAATTAACAGCCATTTAGCTTTGTGTATGCAGGTGTCTGATTAAGTGTGAACTTTGTTCCTCTGACTGTGTTTTCCTTTCCGTCTGAGATGAAAGAGAAGATGTGGGGGAGATCCTGCTAGAAAAGCTTTGTAGCTTAACACTTCAGCAGTGCAAGGATGCTTTATTTCCCCTGAAAAGCACCCACTTGAGCTTTAACATATACACACTGACTTCATGGCATTAAATTGCTTATCTTCATGAAGCTTCCTGAGCCACAGCAAGCTGTCTGTCTGCTCAGCAGTTAGTGACTTCTGCAGGTACTCACAAGCTGATGTCAGGCACTGCTGGGTTTGGCCAGATGTGGCTGTCACAGTAACAAGCTGACAGGAGGGGAAGGAAAGCACATCAAAAAGCATTCTTTTGTTGTAGGGGAAGAGATATCTGGTTCTGAGACCAGTGAATCTGAAGAGGAAGATGAAGATGACGATGGGGAGATTGGAGAGGATGGAGAGAAACGGAAGAAACGGCGGGGTAAGGCAGTGGAGATTCTTGTCAGTGCCACCAGTGTCCTCTGAGCCAGGAGCTGGTGTCAGAAACACTAGGCAGAGCCAGGTGGGGAGAAGTGGAGTTGTAGAGCTGCCCTACTGCCGCTGCAATTATCATGCCTCTCCTAGAAATGAAGCTGTTTGGTGACAGCTCCGAACCTGTGTAGTATCTGCTTCCACTTGGGTAGTTGTGCTTGTGGTAACATCCTCTTTTGTGGTGGCTCCCTGGTTGCCGCAAGGTGGCTGTGTATGGCTTGCGACTGGTGGTGTGGAACTTCCCCTGCTCGCAGAGGTGGGAGGAAGAAGGCACCAAAGATCAGTGGTAGGCAGATGCGGTTTTTATAACCATGGGAGTGGTTGGAGGGGAATTTTGGCTGTGGTTTAGGCAGAGGATTCATCTGTCTTATGGATGTTCAGTAACTGACTCTTCTGGTGTCCTATTTTATGTCGATAGAAGTAAAATTTGACTTTTGGGTGTCTGAGAGCTGAAAAGCTGAATGGGAGCTGCACATCCCTTGTTTGGGAGCACTCTGGAAATCCTGTAGTGAAGTTTGCTTTGTCCTAAACCAGTGTTAAACTCCTGTGTCATGTTTAAACCCCAAGGGATGTTGCTGAACTTAGAACTGGCATCACTGGGTACCATGGGATGCTCTGGCTTCCAGGGAGATTGCTATACCCCTAGAACCTCTGATGTTTCTTCACGGGTAGTAGAGAAGTCACACCCGGTGCTACACCTCAATGTCCAGCTTCTCTAGTAAACTAATTTTGACATTCAAACTGCCTTCCTGTCCTGGAGCACCCCCATCTGTTTAAAAAAAAAAATCCTGTTAAAGCATTCCTGCTTTAGTTAAGCTCTTCATTTTGGTGTCTGTCCAAGTAGGGTCATAAATGACCTTTGTGTGTCTTTGGTAGTTGTAACAACTTTATTCTTCACCTTTTGGTAATTTCTAGAAGCAAAAAGATTGACCACTGTCTCAATCAAGAACCAAGCCCTGCCCAAATCTCCTTCCAAGAGGACACTGCCTTCAAAATGCTGTTTGAAAGGAGTAGAGGGCAAATAACTGACTCAACTTCCAGACAAGCCACCCTTAAGTTCCCTCAGTAAGGGCTGCTCGGCAGGAGTACGCCCGGTAACTGTCCCTGCCTGACCTGATTCTGCCTTCCAGGGGGAAAGTGCACCTTGCCACATACATAAGACTGGAAAGGACTCCTGGTCGCTGAATCCTCTGCTCCTGCAGATATCCACAGCCTTCTCCACTATGATCTGGTTTTCTGTGCTGTTGTTGCTTGAAATGGAAGCTGCCTTGGCATGATGTTTTAAGCTGTAGGCTGGTTAAGATGGGTTTAACTGAAGTGTCTTTCTGAGCATGCTAATTTGTGCTGGGACATGGTGGCTTTGCAAGCTGAGTCTGGGAGGGATCCTAGCAAAAGCTTCCTAATGGGAACCTGTGCCTTTTTGAACTAGGTTGCTGGCCCTTCTGGGTTTCTTTCCTTTAGAACTAACTTCCCATCTGCATGTTTCTTCCCCTCTGGGTTTTTCTGTGGGATGCATTTCTGTTTTCCAGGCAGTAGCAGCAGCAGTAGTTCAGACTCCACATGCTCTGTCATAGAGAAACCTCTGGATAAGTCCTTCACTAGTGAGTGGGAGCTCTTAAGTCCTTTAAGCTTTGGCCTTTCCATAATCTACACACTCCATTTTGCGATGCTGCACTCTTCCCCGCTGTGTCTGTTGGAAAAATAAACCTGAACTTGTAGCTCTGCTAAAGCATGCCTTTCCTTCGCTGCTTCCTTGCTTGAAACAGTTGTTCAATGTGCACATTGTTAGACAGATATGAGAGAGGATAGGAAGCAATTTAGTATGTTGCTTGAGCAAGATTTAAAGGCAATTGAGAAATAATAGGTGAGAAAAAACAGTTTAACTTCTGTGTTAAACTCTCCCTCTAAAATACCAGGAAAAAGTCTGGTAAGTCCTTATGGTAGTTGCTACCAAAGGAGTTTGTAAAAAGGACAACTAGACAGGTGAAATGGGTTGTGCTGTGTTATATTGGTCTCTGCTTCTCAAAATTAGTTTTGGAGAAAAGGGTGGAGCAGTCAGCAGTCAAACAACATGAGGTTTATCCTTGCAAAGAAAATGTGGTAACGCTTGGTTGATTAGCTTTATTTTGGCTGATACTTAGTCCTCGGTGGTTGGGGTTTAACTGCCCCTTGACATTAAGTTCTTGATCACTGTGGGACTTAGTTCAGAAGAACAAGGGATCTAGACTTCGATCTAGCAGTGAGGGACGTCTGGTCTGCTCCTCATCAGAGGGGGCTCTGTCCCTGTAAAAACCCTACAGTGGGTTTGTGAAGACCAAAGAAATAAATCACATCTCAGGACTTGGCTTGTAGGGACTTCACCCACTCTTGTGGTTATTCTGTATAGATGGAGTTCACTCTCCTCCCTGTGTGGAGAGTTTGGAAAGTATTGCTGTAGAGTTATAATCCAGTCAGATTTATACTAGTCACGTTAGTGGAAAGCACCAGCTCGGAGAAGGTGTGGTGCAGGCTGAGAAGGGTCACAGCCTGAGGGAGACCTCTGGGTCCTGTGATGGTAGGCTTGGAACCTGCTTGCTTCAAACTTGCTCTTTCAAAGCTTGCTTGAAACCTGAATATTTTCTCTGGATGAGAACAGTTAATAGCAAACCACTGATGGCGGCAGCAGGCGGATGAGTTCATCTCCTGCAGGTTTGGAGAGCAGCTCTGTGGTGGAGGCTGCACTGGGCGTTTGGTGATGAGGTTAAACGTGGCTGTGTGTGGTTTGGGATATTAACTGTCCTCAAGCGTGACCCTCTTGCATGTGGTGGCTCTCATGATCCCTTTCCTGTCCTGCCCTTCTTGCTGCACTTGCTTGAATAACCCAAACTGGCTATATACCTCTATGGAAGCATCAGTTACTGCAAATTAAGCGAACAATACCTTGTGTAATTACATGGAGAAATCTTGTGCTGAGACTCCCTATGTGCAACTGTCATGTATCCTGCAAGAATTGGCTTGGAAACTTGGTTAAAAGTTAGAATGACTCTTCTGTATGCTAATATTTAACAGGTAATAGAACAGAATTGGCTCTCTTGAGCAGGGGGGAGCGTTAATTCTCTTATTGAAGAAGCAATCCCCCCCCCCTTTAATTGTTTCTTAGGGCATGATCTTTGCGGCAGGCTCGTAACGTTACCTCTAGATTCTGCATTGCGTTGAAGGGGCAGAAGAATGCAAGAGTGAGCTGAAGATTATCCTGGATGTGCAAAGCACTCTGAAGTACAGAGGCTTTCTCTGCTTTAGCATAAAATCATGATGCATTAATGTTTGCTCTAATGGAGTTTTATTTAGTGATGATTATCCTGTGTTTTCTACTCTAGAAACCTGCCTATAAAATTGTTCTGATGCTGATTATCTCTGTCTAGAATGATCAAAGCAATAATATATTTTCTTTCCTCCTCTTTTTATGCACATGCTGCCTCTCTGCGATTTGCTTTCTACTTCCTCTTAATGCAAGATCAAGCAGGTTGGTGTAATTGTTTTCCGCCTCCTTACAATATAATTTCAGAGCTTGTGAAAGGATCTTAAAACTTGGTTTAGTTTACCTTTTCTCCTAAGATGAGAATATAGAGGTTGTGTACTAAGTCAGAAGCCTTTATCTGGCTTACCTCCTTTTATATGAGCTCGGTATAGCACTTTCAGAAAGCTGCTTACTCAAAGACAAGAGATTTTTTTTTTTTCCCACCACAAATCCAGAAATAAGTGCTTATTATCTGATGCCAAAGTTTAGCAGATGGAGACTAAGACACTGTTTGCTGTGGTGCTGGAGTCCTTACCGTGCCACAAAGCTGACGAATTCTCTAGTGTGTGTGAACAAACGTGAATACAGATGTGTACGTGTGTGTTTACAAATACGGTGCATTTTGTCTGTCTGCTAGAGGTCCTATATATGTATAAATAAAGCTGACTGCCACGAAGACTGGAGGGAAGGGAAGCCTTTCACTGGACAACTTCCTTCAGCACACTGACTGTGTGTATTATGTCACTGAGAAACAGTCACTTGACAGTTGATGGCTTCAGGTAGTTTCTAAGCATCTGGATTCTAAGGGGTTTTTTTCCTCTGGAGAAAAGCAAAACAAGAAAATGAACTTGCTTGTAGTGAATAAAGGGAGGTTTAGGACTTGTAAGACTTGTGCATTTGAGGAGATGCGCATACACTGGGCTCTTGCTCACTCCAAATAACCCCCAGGGATTTCTGTGTTCACCTGCCTTAGGCACTGTTGGGATTCCAGTGACAGTTGGCTTCCAAGAGCAGCAGCCTCACACTTTGTTTCAAAAATCACTGGGTTTGGGACCAGTGCTTCAGGCTGAGGTGTTCATTGAGTTGTCCTTGGCCATTTCCTTTGTAACCCTCTAGGAAATGTCCCTGGGTTGCTGTAGGGCTTGTAAAGATGCAAAGTGACAGCAAACTTCAGTGCTTTCAAATCTGTGGGTAGCCACTGTTACACAGATTGAATACTATCAACAAGTTTCTTTAATTGCCTGTTTTTTGTAGGACTGTTCTGAATTTCTTGAGTCTTTGTCACAGTAGTGTATCCTTAAAATATTGTGCTCGCTTTGCAGTAGGTAAATTCAGAAGGAAGAGAACAAACGAGGGGTGTGGTGGGGATGCTAATCTGAAATTTGAGTATGTGGCTCTTGGTAGCTCAGCTCTTGTAGATATAGGTCGAGGCTGTCTTCTGTGTTCCTTCATTTGGCCTAATCTACATAGTTGGAACATCTGAGTTTCCAGCTCGGACTTCTGTTTAGGCAGCGTTCCTTCTCCAAGTGTTCTTTGGATGTTTTCTGTTTTGGGGGCATTAGGTTATAGAGTTAGCTCTATACCATTCCTTCTCTGTAGGAACTGGGGACAACTGGTCAGTGTTAAAACAGGATTTGAAAGATTGAGTCGTGCCCAGCTTAGAGCTGACATCTGACTAAATTAATCTTTGTTAAATGCAAGTGTTGAATCTGAACTTGGAAAAAAAGCTGTGATACAGAGGCTGTCTTATTTTTCTGTGAATGAATTTGTTTTCCCTATCCCTTCCCAAAGGCAAAAAGAAAGTTTCCCCTGACAAGATGGTAGAGATGCAAGCTAAGATTGAAGAGGAGAGAAAAGCTCTTGAAACTAAGCTTGATATGGAAGAAGAAGAAAGAAACAAAGCCAGAGCTGAACTGGAGAAGAGAGAAAAAGACTTGCTTAAAGCTCAGTGAGTATCCTGCTCTTTGCAGTTCATGTGGTCCTGTGAGTTTTTCCTTAATCTACAACTCGGATAGGGGCACCTGGAGATGCACGGGGAGGGGCCTGTTGGGCTTTAATAGCAAGATGTTCAGTTACAAAGTGAAAGAGGAGCTTACTCTGCATTTAGAGAAGATGGAAAAGACGCTTTACCCTCTTGGTGCTTCTTTCTTCTCTTAATTTTAGTTGTGCAAGATAGCCTAGAAAGACAAATGAGTCCTGGGGCCCGGTGCAGAGCAGTGGTACTGCTGTGCTGCTTCACCAGTGGGCAGTAGCTGTGCAGCACCCCAGGTTTCCTGTGGCACGGTGTCACGCGCATGTCGTTTTGGGTGGAGGGATTCTCCACTCTGGAGCTGAAAAGCTGCTGAGATGCCGCTGGCCTGTGTGGACAGGACAGTCCTGCTGTCAGAGGCTGCTCCAGCACCAGCCAGCTTTCCTGGTTTGCATCTCGGCTGCCCTGCCTCCATCTCTGCTTGCTCTCTTCCTTTTCTGCAGCTGCCTCTGGGTATCTCTGCACTGCAGGGCCCACGGGGAGCAGGGGCCTTGGGGAGCCTGGTGATATTGCTGGTGCCTTGCAGCCCTTCGCAGAGGGGATTTGTGGCAGGAGAGGCTTTTCTGACCTGGTTTTGCTCGCGAGGAAGCGATGGGAGCTGGAGCTCAGGGAACTCCCTGCATTCGCTTGCACTGCCTCACCCCGCTTAAACCCTTGGCAGCAAGACAAGTTTTTCCAGCCCTGCAAATGCTGTCTGGGCTGTAAAACTGAGCTGGACCTGCTGCCTTGCAAGCAGTGTGGGATAGGAAGCTTTATGCTGTGTCTCTAGACAAGAGCACCAGTCCTTGTTGGAGAAACTGTCTGCACTGGAGAAGAAGGTGATCGTGGGAGGAGTGGACTTGCTGGCAAAAGCAGAGGAGCAAGAGAAGCTTCTAGAGGAATCCAATATGGAACTGGAAGAACGAAGGAAGAGAGCAGAACAACTTCGCAAGGAGCTCGAGGAGAAGGAGGTGGGGTTATAAGCTGCAGCTGTCTGGAAATAGCAATGGTGGGCCACACCATGTGTGCCGTGGCTTTGCTCACGTGGATGAAACGTGGCTCTGCTCTGAAAGAATGGCAGAAACGGTGGTGGCAGTGCTCAGCTCTAGGGCACTGCAAACACTGTGGGTCTGGGCCAGCCTGGCCAAGCCAGGTCTCCATGCCTTTGGTAAATGCTTTGTTTTGTTCAAGTAGTTTCTCTTGTTCATGCTAGCGTGGATAGTTTCTTTGATTGTGTTAATGTGTGGACGTCTGTGCTAAATCTTGCACACAGCAAGAACGCTTGGACATTGAGGAGAAGTACACCAGCCTCCAGGAAGAAGCACAGGGGAAAACCAAGAAGCTGAAGAAAGTTTGGACCATGCTTATGGCTGCAAAATCAGAGGTTAGTGTCTGAAGTGCCCAGCCTGTGCTCGCCCGTGGGACTAGAGCTGGGAAGGGTAAGCCATCAGCTTGGTGACGCTGGAAAAAGTGCCAGACGTTTAGAAATGCCTTTCTGTGCTGTTTTGGCTCATGTAATTCAAAAAGATCTAACTCAGGCTGGTGTCAGAGCTTAAGAGGTGCGTGTTGTAGAGCTTTTCCCCAAGCCAGGCTGAGAGGGGGTGTGTGTGTGTGAGACCCTGAGATATTCAGAGCTTCAAGGAGAAACACTGGTTATTTCTGAGATAACATAAGTTGTTTGCTGGCGGCCTAGTCTCCTGCTCTGCAGCAGCCCAGGAGCTAAAGCTCCTCTGCTCTTAGCTGTCTGTCTCTTCTGCCTCCTGCCCTCGTTATTTCTTCCTCAGTGGCTCAACATGCCCTTTGGCTGGTATCTAGAGTGTTTCATAAGCGCATTTTGTCTCTGAGATCAGAGATTTTCCTCGAAATCTTGCCAGGGATGTAACTTGTCTGCACACTCTTCATCCACTCTTACCTGGTGCAGAGCTTGGACTGGCAGAAGGCCAGTTTCATTTTTATGAAACAGAACTTAGTGCTGCTTTCAGCCATCTCTGGGCTAGAATGTTTTAAGGGGGTTTATTCTTCAGAGAGAAATGTTCTAGCACTTAGAAGCAGAGTTTGCTGTTGTTTCTCAAAAACCTTGTATAGGCAGAAGGCTGTTCTCTTTCAGGCTGTTGCCATGTCTTAAGCTAGCTCTGATGCCTCTCAAATGCCTGGTTTATCTTCAGATGGCAGATCTGCAGCAGGAGCATCAGAGAGAGATCGAAGGATTGCTAGAGAATATTCGACAGCTGAGCAGGGAGCTTCGTCTTCAGATGCTTATCATAGACAACTTCATTCCTCAGGACTACCAGGTAAAGACAGAGCCTAAGCCTGTGGCGTAGGGCTGTGCAGAGCTCTTGTTCTGTCCAACAAATGGAATGAGTTGGGTGCTTTTCATTTTGTGAGGTATTCCCAGTGAACTGAAGCTGTAGCACAGATCACTTGCTGGGAGCCTGTTTGTGGCTCAGCTGAGCGGGTACGACTTGCCTGCATTCAGGAGTTTGTGCCGTTATCTGGGTTTTTAGAACCAGGTGATGTTAAAAGTAGGAAAAGGTGTTTTTTGTCAAGTGACTCTTGTAACCTGGTGGCCTTCTGCTTGAAGTTCAGCTGGAAGATGATCAGAGTTAGTGGGTGCACTTGGCTCCAAAACCAGCACAACGATGTGAATAGCGAGTGCAGAGCTGAAGAATCGGTGTGTAATATGTTGGTTGCTGTAAGCAGAGAGATACATTGATCTCAGTTTTCTTGCAGCATATTTTCCTAACGGTTAAAATCACCGTGTATTTAACTGGTGTATTCACTGTGTGCCCGTGCTCTGGGTCTGTTTGAAATCTTTTTTTCCCACCGTGCTTGAAGTTCTGCTTCTTAAAGTCTGATAATGCAGAGTAGTAGGGCTGAACTTGGAACTCTTCTACTTGTTTACTTTGACCCCAATCTCCAGAAAATTCATTATGAGCTTAAATATGGTGCATGCTATTTAATAGAAAATGTAAAAGCTGTTTCCCTTTTTTCCATATTACAATGTGTTTATTGATGGCCTGATGGCATTGGCGTGAGGGGAAACCCATGGTTTAGTGGGAACTCCAGTGTATATGATTTGGGAGTGGTATTTTTCTCCTCTGTAGTCTTCAGAATGTCAGTGGGGGGGTTTGAACATGACAGAACTGTCTTGATAGAAGCGACTTGGAATGGTCAATGCTTAAGCAGCTTGTCCAGGCCGTTAGGGATGTGTCTTCTGGAAAATGCATCCGGAGGGCACATTGTGCAGATCTGTGTTACTGCAAGTCTATTACAGTTACTGTTTTAATTTCTTTCTAGGAAATGATTGAAAACTACGTTCACTGGAACGAAGACATTGGGGAGTGGCAGCTGGTAAGTTATCTGATGGGCTCACCTACAAACTGACGTTGGCACCAGCTTCTGAGGAGTTTAACTGAGCCCAGAATTAAATGGATAAACCTGTAGTCAGTTCTACTGTGCATGGTACTCTTTACTAACAGACCTTTCTTTCTTTAAGAAATGTGTTGCATATACAGGAAACAACATGAGGAAACAGACACCTGTCCTGGATAAAAAAGAAAAAGATGTGAGTGACTTTTTATAAGCACCTACTGAGCTGCATAAGTCTAAATTCTGCTGCCTGTGGCTACTGCTGCATATTTATAGCAAAACTATCTGCTTTCAGTTTTCTTTTGAAGAGATGAGTCTTTCTAGTGTTACAAAAGCATGCTGATCGGTGTATGAAACTACTCTTGACATTTTTTTTGTGGGGTTTTCTTTTTTTAGCCCTTTGAAGTGGACCTTTCCCATGTTTACTTAGCTTACACTGAAGAAAGCTTGAGGCAATCCCTGATGAAGCTGGAGAGGCCAAGGACTTCAAAAGGAAGAACCAGGCCCAAGACGGGTAGAAGGTGAAGAACTTTGGAGTATCTATATGTAACAGGGGCTTTACCCAGGGGAAGGCTTAAGTTTGTGCATGCAAACTTAACCATGAGTCTTCAAACATTTGTTTAATGAGAAGATAAATTACTAACACTTTTCACGGTACAAAGATTACCAGTGCCAAGTGTAACAACCAAGCTGAAATCTCTTTACTATAGTAAAATCTTGTCCAGAAAGACTCGTTTGGGAATTTTTCTGATGGCAGTTTGTGCTGCGTTCCCCTCTTCCACCTTCTTGCTTTATTTTCTGGTGTTCTGTGGTTCAGTTTAACATCTGACACGTCTACTGGTGTTACTGGAAAGTCGTGTGCTGTTGGAGGAGATTTCAGCCTGGGTTTTCTTGGTTATTTTACTTTTTTGCTTTTGACAAGTACCTGTGGAAGAGTAACGTTGTATAGTTTTGGCTTGAAATGTGGCTGGTCCCCGTCTTTCCTTGACAGCATAATGATGTGTGTATGGTGTTATTTCTCCCTTTTCTGCTCTCCAAACAGAAAACGTTCGGCAAAGCCAGGAGCCGTCATTGACTCTCTGCTGCAGTAGGTGTGACCTGTTCAGAATTGCCGTAAAAATCAGTGAGTGTATAAGATTTGGCCAGAATATGAAATTTAAGAGATGGCACAGTTTGACATGGCTATAAAATCCATGCCTTGCTGGTATGGAGCTTTATTAAAAAAAAAAAAAATGTATTTTTCTTTAGTTGCCCGTATACTGTATGTTATATTAACATAATATTAAACTGGTATATATGATGGTTGTGAAATTCCACGTGGTAAATGTGTTGTGCAGGGAAACTGTTGTTGGCAATCCTTGTTGAAATGTATAGGAAATAAAGGTTCTAGATGTGTGTTTAAGCACTAGACACGTTAGCTCAAAACAGTTGTTGAAATCCTAAAACTTAAGGCTGGTAAATCTGACTTAGGCCCTGCTTTGCACCTAACTGGCACCTTTCACTGTTGTCCTCTGTTGCCCTGAGCTGTGTTTGAACGTGGTTGCTGCAAACCTTGAGGAGCATCAAACCCTTTTATTTAAATCCTCTCCCCGTGGCTATTAACCTGACTGTGTTGTGTATCAAACACACAGTCCTTCTCCTTCCGTTTGCTGTCTTGCTGCGCGAGGGAAGTCGTTGGGTAAGGAGAAACATGAGCTACAAAAGTGTGAGACTTCTGGGAAGGGATCACACCCTGGTTAAGTGCAACAGAAGACAAGTGTGTCTGGTGCTTTTGGTTTTGTCTATTTGTGTGTGATCTGCTGGCACTGTGGAGAACGAAGCCTTTGATGCAAAGGCAAAAGAGCTTTTTTTTTTTCTTTTTAAGGCTGTGTTGCAGCGTTGCTTTGGCTGCTTTTTATGTTTCTGAGCTGGAATTTTTTAAAATATGTGACTTGTTTTGTAATATGAACAGCAGAGATTACTTAAGGGGAATGCTAGAACACTAGGACTTGGCTTCAGCCTTGGGACTGTGAACATTAGGGCTCTGTCTTCTCATCCCTGGCTGCAAGGACACTGGACCAGTGCCCTAAACTGAGGATGAGTTTGATTCTCCTGGATTAAACCAGGCATGAATTGCCCAGTTCTCCCCGAACAGTACCATCCCCTGAAAGGGCTGATGCTGTTTGTTCCTGCGTAGACTGTATCGTCTTGGGTTTCTTGCCTATGCTCTGAGAGGAAAAAAAAAAAAATTCTGGTCTCTGATAATAACCATTTATTTGTGGTGGCTGCTCTTTTTCTTTGATATTTACGCTGCTAATAGACACATATCACTTTACTGCATTGCTTTTGTGTCACACTTAGGATTGTGTGTGCTTTATCACTCCTGCTGGCACCTCACCAGCTCCGGGGGGGGCCGTGCTCATTAGCTGTAACTTCCACATCACCTCAGTGTTACCTGGGGGCTACTAGTAGGAGAAACTGAGTCCGTAAGCATGGCAAAGGGTGAGACAGCTCCTTCGGTGTCCCGAGTTCTCGCTAGTAGCCACGTTTGTGATTTACCAGAATGTTCTTGAAGTACTTAGAGTAGTGAAAAGTTGACGGCCCTTCCTTACTGTCCTGGTGGCTCTGTAACGGGATCTGTAAGAGTTAAAACTGGTCTTGTCAAGGCATATTTTGCTCTGGTGATACGTTCAGTGCTTCTCTAAAGGAGTGGTAAGCTTTTCCCTGTGTTTTTTTAAATGTGTTTTTCAGGATCATGACCTAGAAGAACATACTGGCCTCTGTTTTGGGGGGAAGGGAGTGACACCTAAGTTCATGCAAGACACAAACGCTGGCATTTATTTTCTCTAGCCTAGTGCTTGAGGTAAATACTCAGAATTTTGGTTGATCTAAGCTGTAGTAGGTTTTGCTTTTGAAGAGGCGACCTTACCTTGAATGTGCTTGGATAGAGTTGGGCTATCTGGTGTTAGATGCTTCTCCTCAAACAAGACAGACTGAAAATGGCTTAAATGCTGTTTTGTCTTAAGCCTTATGTCCATCCTGAGCCCACGCAAGATAGCTGCACAGTTCTGGCCTGTTGTAGTTCTCAGAACCAGGGATAACGGTTTTATTTCCCTTCTGTGTTATGTCTTGTGCTAAGATTAGTTGAACGATCTGTTTTTAAGGGAGCTTCTCCTGAACTGTGCTTTCAAACAGACCATTGGAAAGTCTTTTACCTGACAGACATCGGTGGCCTAGCGATACCACTGTGAACCGTGACACTGCATTTAAAATATTGCAAACCTAACTACAAAGGCATATGCTTTACCACTTTAAAGTTACACTTCTGCTGCTGAAAACAATATTACTCTACATATTTAAGCGGGCCTTGGGGCAGAGAAAACAGTAAGGAATTGCTTGCACACGTTTGGCAGATTGGAGAAGCCAGATGTAATCTGTTACAGGGGCTTGGAGAACAAATTATCTGCTCTTACAAGAGGACTTTAAAGTGGAACACTGTCACGGTCATGAGGATCTATCAGCTTGGCTTACCGTGTAACTGGTGTGTAGTGGTGAAGTTCTGGGAACTTCTGTTTAAAACCAGAGGGGCTGCCTTGCAGGTTTACCATATGGGCCTTCTCTAGCCCTGGATGATCTGTGAATGTCTAATGTTTTTGTGAGGAAGGGGCTTGGTTTGTTTGGGGGTTTTTAAGAGCTTAATACAGCCATTCTCATCCCAGGTCAGTATGTGCTCTATAGTATTTATCAAAAATCATATAACAATATATTGTGTATGCTCATCTTGCTACCAGAAGAGTCCCCTCATTCCAGAACATCAACCTTAACATTACGGTTTTTGATGCTTTATGTTGTTTAATGTTGTGTAAATGTATTATTTCGTATTTAATTTGTTCCTGATCCTTTCTTTAAGAGGAGGGGAAAATGGTCCGTAGTGCCTTTCACTGACTCCACCCTCTGCACGTGTCCAGCTTTCACCTTTCTCAACAGTTCTGCTTAGCCAGTCCTGTATATAGGAAAAACTGCTAGTCTTTTATAATTTGTCTTCCTATTTATTGTTTTTTCTAACTGTTTATTTCTGATTATTCTTTGTTTTATGACTAAGCTTTATTCTTTACACTGTATATATCAGTATTACGTCCCCGGAGCATGTTCATACCATGAAATAAAACTCCTGATTCCTAGTTCCACCTCTGTCCATGGTTTTTCAATTATCTTTATCCATACAGCATCTTTCTAACTCTGAGGCAGGAGGTGTCAGGAAGGGTGCCTGGAATCCTCTGCGTGGCTCTGGGCTGCACAACATTTACTGGAGAAGTTGGAGAAGTGAGTTTGGGGGGGATGTGGGCACCCCCAGGGCTGACAGGGCAGAACAAGAGGCTGCTCTGCAAGGCTGGGGAGGAGATGGGGGTAACTGTAGGGTGGGTTGGGTTGGGAGTGACCTTAAAGATCACCCAGTGCCACCCCCTGCCCCGGGCAGGGCCACCTTCCACCAGCCCAGGTTGCCCAAAGCCCCGTCCAACCTGGCCTTGAACCCTGCCAGGGAGGGGGCAGCCACAGCTCCTCTGGGCAGCCTGTGCCAGGCCCTCACCCCCCTCACAGGGAGAATTTCTTCCTTCTATTTTAATCTCAGTCTGCTCTTACTCAGTTTAAAACTGTCACCCCTTGCCCTGTCCCTACATCCCTGATCCAGAGTCCCCCCCCTGTTACCTGCAGCCCCTTTCAGCCCTGGGGGGCCGCTCTAAGGTCTCCCCGGAGCCTTCTCTCCTCCAGCTGAACCCCCCAACTCTCTCAGCCTGTCCTCACAGGGGGGGCTCCAGCCCCCCGAGCATCTCTGTGCCCTCCTCTGGCCCTGCTCAGCCAGGTCTCTGTTCACCTCTGTTTCCTCTGCTGCATAAACTGTCCTGGCCTGCAGCACACTTCTTCCCCTGGAAGACGTTTCAGCCTGCTCAGGCAGTAGGTAACAGGTTTTTTGTGGTCTGCTAACGCTGCAGCTCCCCTGAGTACTGTGACTCAGTTGATGCAGGAACCAAACTCTGCACAGTCCTGGGACTTTCCAAAGCGCTCTCCCACGCTGTGCCAAAGTTGCAAAATGGTAAAAGACACCTAAATACCTGTGAGGCTCTGCTGTCCTGGGGCTTGAGAGACTTCCACCATGGCCCGGGTCTGCTGGGGACTGGTCAACCCCTCAACAGTGCAGGTTTGCTCCCTGCTGGTGTTTATTTTGCTGCTGTTGTTTCTATTCCTGGGCCACAAAGGGCTATGCTGTATGTAAATAGCATGTATGTAAATTTATAGATATAAGCCCTAAATAGGTTATAAAGTGAGGGGGGAGCTAAGGGCCTGCTCTGTTCCCACCCTGGCATCTCCTTTTGCAGCTCTAGTACACACTTCTGAGTTCCCTGCGCTCAGAACCAGGCCTGGTTTGTGCCCCATCTTCTCCAATCTGCCTTGTCTTGGGGTTTTTCCCTCAGCTTAGCCCTGCTTTCCTCTTCTTGATACCAGCTCTAACACCACAGCAGGACAAACTGCTTTGGCAGCTCTTGCCAGCACCACCCCCGTGCCAGCGGAGTCTGGACTCTGTTCCCTGTAGCCCCTTGTATTTCTTGCAAGGTATATGGCAAAGTAACAAAAATTACTTCTGACTTCATGGTTTTAAAGCCCCGGTTCCATCTAGCAGCTCATCACCGCTCAGCTCTTGAGTCAGCACAGCCTCTCTGTGCCCTGATTTCCAAACCTGTCACTGATTTCCCACTTTCCGACGATGAGGATAGAGAAACGTGTCCTCCTGTCCCTGCTCTGCAGCCCAGAGCCCCGTGCTCTACCCGGCACCTTCGAGCTCTCAAACGTGCTCCTGCGCTCTCCGGTTTCTAGCCAAGAAGCATCTTCATGCAATACCAGCAGGTTTAGTCCAAAAATACATTTATTTAAAGAATTATTATAAATAATTTTGAAAAATACAGTGTCATAGTTTAAAAACAACAAAAAAAACAAACTGTGGTGGTTTTTTTTTTTCACATCAGCCTCTAGTCTTTTACTAATCGTTGGAGGAGTCTGTGTAAGTTCATTAGGAAATCACGGAGTGAAGTAGTGTTGGCTGCTGCCACGGGACATGGTGCCTGTAACGGGAAAAAAAGAGCCGTGAGGGTGCTGGGGGAGGGCTCCAGGGCTCTGTTCTCCGTTTCCAGCAGGAGAGGACTGGCTGAGAGCAAGGGATGGAGAAGCTGGGGGAAGCTCCGTGGCTGAGGGTCGTCCGGCATCGGGGCTGCGAGCGGGAGCCCTGCCTTACCTGGAGCACCGTGCTCTTCCTCTGGACCACTTCCACCAAATTGAGGTAAAGGCCCTCCAGGGGCCGGTGGCAGCTCCGGCTCTCCCAAGCCACTGTGGAGGCTTTGCATAAGATCTCGATGTTGTCATCTTCCTGGAAAAAAAAGACATACGTGGCTTTTTTTTTTTTTTAGGGAATCTTGTGTACAGTCGCAGCTTCATTAGCAGCAGGTGAGAACAGCACAAATAATAGATTTTTTTTTTTTTTTATAGCGATACATCCTCTCGGCGAGAAGTCGTGGCAGGGTTGGGAGCAGCAGCTTGGAGCATCGTGCTCCTGCTGCCGGCGGGCCCCTGTGCTGGGGGAGCTGCTCCCTGCGCCGTGCCCGGGGGAAGGAGCTGGTTTGGGTGGGCAGAGGCTCCACGGGGGTAACAAAAGCCCCTGGGAAGACGTCGCCTCTGTCCATAAAATCCCGTGGCAGAGACATGGGGCAGATGAGGAGCTGGTGGGTGAAGTGCTGGTGGTAATAAGAAAACTGTGGAGCTGTCTTCCCCCGGGGGATGATGCTCAACGCGGGCAGGTCGCTGAGAGCTCTGTCTGTCCTCATCTCGGCTTTCACCCCGATGGCACCGCCGAAGCCACCGGCCTGTCCCCGTGAGCACGGCCGGGGCTGCGGGCACTGGGTCCTGCAGCATCCCTGGCGTCTCTGCTCGCTCTCTGTGCTGGTCCCTGGGGCAGGAGGGGTGTGGGGACCCCCCTGAGGAGATGCTCAGCCCCAGCCCCCCTCCAAAAGGAGGCTGCTGCACCCCTCGGCTGCCGCCTGCCCATGCCACGCGAGGTGAGGGCATCGGCTTTCTGTGAAAACAGGAACTCTGGTGCCGGGGAGCTTGGCTTAGGCAGCAATTTTCAGTGCAGAAATAGGTTTTATTATCTGCTATTAAATCTCCTGCTAACTGAAGAGCTTTCCCCCAGATAAGGGGCTAAAGAGGGATAGTGTGTCTAACCAGAGCTCGAGATGCTGCGCGATAGGTGCGTGTGGGTGTCTGTGAGATGGTGACACACCGCTCCAAGGCAAGGGAAGAAGTTCCCCTCTCTTCCTTTCTCAAAAGCGTGAAAAACGCTCTGTGCTGCTCAGAGAGGCGCTGCCCATTCCCGCCTGCCCCTCCGGCCTCCCCCAGCCCCTGATGCCGCTTTGGCTGGAGGTGGGGACGGGTGCTGGGCACCGGGAGCGGCGAGGAGCAGCCTGGCAGCCCAACGTCACCGCTCGGGGCTGGCCATGGGCTCCTTGCTCCCGTGTGGTGCCACGCCTGGCCACCCCGTGTTCTCCTCTGGCCCCCAGCACCCGTCGTGGCCGTGTGGTTGTTTTCGAACAAGGACGAGTTAGTTTTTTCTCTCTTACCTTATCGCCTGCAAAAATATTTGTCACATTCATCTTGTCACAGGAAACCTTTATCAAGACACAAAGGAGAGGAGCAATCAGGCTAGAGAGCAACCCGATAGAGAAATCCATCCTGACTCACACCCATCCCTCCGCCCGCTCTCGGTTCCCCCCCTCCGCCCCGATCTGGCACCTTCCTTTGACTCAGCATCACTCTCGCCCAGCCCGGCGAAAGACTCCGTCCCTCCCATCCATGCGAGAGAGCCCTACCTCGCTCCGCAGGAGGTGGCTCAGCAGCCTGATGCTCTCCTCCAGAAGCCTGGAGGTCTGCAGCAGGGCGGCCGTGCGGCCCTGGCTGCCCGGCAGCGCCAGGAGGGTGAGCAGCACCGGCACCAGGATGCTCATGGCCTGCTTGAAACTGAACCCCCTCAGCTCACAGTTTCTGGATATTTTGGTGATCTATACCTGTGTGTGCTTTTCTGGAAGAAACACCTCAATTTAAGGCTGTAAAATTGCTGAACCTGTAGGAAAAACTTATTTTCCCTTATCTGCACTTTCCAAAGTTGCTCCTATCCAATTAGGACAACAGGTCTTTTTTTTGTGAAAGTCAAGATTTTCTTCTGATCTTGCATTACGTTTCAACGTAGGAAATTTCCACCGTAAGATAACGGTGGTGGGAGTCAGGTCACGTACAAAAGAAAAGTTTGTAAACTGCCCGATTTGGGGATTCTTCATTTCTCCGTATCCCAAGACTTGATACCGTGAGGTGAAAGTGGCTGAACCGGGGAGACCACAGCTCTGACCGCGCTCAAATAAGCTTTGCTTTTTTTATTCTAACTGTCCTGCGAGCTCTTCCATCTCGTGTTTCATTTGAATATCTCCAAATCATGCAAAGCATCCTTCATCTGCATACCATTTTCTGTCTACGGTTATCTTAACCTGTGCCCGGGCAGAAACGGAAAGCGCGGCAGAGCCCTGCCTGGGGCCCGTGGGGACAAAACCCTCCTGGGGAGGAGCAGGGCATCGCTGCCTCCCAGGGCTGGGGGGTTTATGGAGACTTGGGGGCCCTCCTGGCCAAACGGGACCCCTGAAACAGCGGGACCCTGCCCGTGGCACCCTGCGGGGATGCAGACGAGGTGCAGGGAGCCGGCCTGGGGTGGTCCCGCAGCGTCGGTGCCTGGGAGCGCGGGCCCTTGCCTGGGAAAATGAGATTTTTGTGACTGGTCCCAGCGTCTCGGCGAGGTGGAGGCTGCCCCGGCCTGTCCTGCCCCTCTCGGGGTTCAGGTGATGGGCTCTGCTGGCACCACCGACCAGCGCTGCCGCAGGAAATCGCGCTGAGAAATTAGCTGAGCTGGGAAACTTCGGAGTTTTGTAATAACTAATAGGTATTTTTCTAACTCAAATAGCAACTTGCCATCAGATGCTTGATAAGAGTTTGCGAGTGCTCAATTAATCCAGGAGCAGCCAGACTGAGAGTAATTTTGTTTGTCTAATTACGAAATGCCCCAGATGAAGTTAGTGCCACTGACTCAGAAAGACCTTTGCGAGGGATTTGCCGGCAGAGCGCTGCGCCGGCTCCTACCTGCACCGCTCTCGATGGAGCAGATAAGCGGGTGCTCCCCGGCTGAGGGGCCGCACGGTGCCGGCGGCCTCGGCGGG